TAAAACAAATGAGGAGCAAGCCTTTTCAAAACAAAATTAGAATATCAAGTGGTTGTTCAGATAGAGCAACAAAAACATGTGGCTTCATTGCTTTCTCCTAGTAAGACGTAAAGAGTCCAACAGTTTCTTTCTCCTTTAAACTGAAATTTATTTGCCTTCAGCTCCTTTGTGCAGTGTTTCAAGCTTTAGGAGGAAAAATATTTGTTTTATTATCTCCTTGTATGAATGTTATGTGATGATATCAAGAGATAGGTTCCATTTATATTACCTTTCTTACATATTTCTCTATATTCTAAAATAAATGTGAGCTTCACTAAAAGCACTAAGTCTTCAATGATTTAATTTATAGACATTATTAGTCTGTTAGTATAATTTTGTCAGATAAAATTACATTTATTAAGATAAAAATAATGAATAGAATTATCAAAAGTCATATTACTTCATAGTCTTCATTTTAATATAATTGAGCACATAAGAAATATTAAAAGCATTCTTCCAAATATCCCTAGATTTGTTCCTTGTTTAGCTTTAGTGTTGAATTTCATAACAAAGAAATGTGTGCATTTTTTCAAAAAAGGTTTGGCATCCTAAGCTTGGTTGTGGGAGTTCTACACGCATATGCACACCTCCTGGTCAAATAGGAAGGAACTAAATATTTCCTTCTCTAACTGCGTTGTCTAGACATAATGCTCATGCCGTCTTCAAATGAGAGCTCTTCTCTCATATTCTTTGCTATCTTTCTTAGACAGTATAAATGGAGCAACCCAAGAGTATATTCTTGAGGCAGCATATGTATGATTTCAATCGGTTTATTCCTCTGAAGTATCTTGGACATTAAAATACTGATTGCTTTTTAATTCTCAAGTTAAAATATTTGCTAGAAATGTATTCCATGGTAGTACAAGTTGCATCCTTGTATTGTTGTGGTAATTAGTGTCATCAAAGTAATCTTCAGAGTTTAAAATGTCCTTGTTACTTCTCAGTGCTAACTGATAGCTAAGATTTGTATTAGAACAATTGTGGAAGCTTTATATGACAGTAGTGGAATTTTTATCTTAAAATTCCGACTTTAGCTTTATGAGCTTTGAGCTGAAAGGAAGTGTTAAATTAATCTTTGAGAATTTAAAATCCCTTTAGTGGGTTTGACATATCCTAAATAAAAATGTGCTACCATTCTTTAAAAGTAAATGAGAAACCGTCAAAGCAAAAACTCACCAGGTTCTTAAGAATCTAAATTACAATAAAATAGCAGACAACTGGAGTCTAGTTTTCCTTGATTATTTTCAGCAGCATCTGATGTGAGTTAAATTTAAATAATTAAGATATTACACTGAAACAGAAAGTATTAAGGACCTTTCCACAATTTAGGGCAATGCCATCTGAGATTGCCCACAAACTCTTAAAACTCCTAGACACCCAGCTATCTTCTCTTCTGGCTTCCCTCCTAGTCATGTCTTGGCTACTATCCAGAGCTGACAACTTTCACCCAGGAGCAAAGGGAGATTTGTCTAGAAGAAGAAGGATTTTTGAGTCATCCTAGATTTTCCTATCCAGATGGGCAAGGAGGAGGGGTGGCAATATCGTTGTACATACGTGGGTGATGTCATTATGGCACATGTGCACTATAACCATTAATTTAGTCATAATGGTTAAGTTCTAATATCCTGTTCAAGTATTCCTCAATTGAAACTTTAATTTAGCAATTTCAAAATTAAAGTAGAAATGTTGTTCAAATATGTATCTTAGGTCCTGATGCATAGATTCTGTCACTTCTTCATTTTCAACTAAAAACCTGGAAGTTTCACATCTTTGCTACTAAATAAAAGTGCTTCAGAGTCTGGCAGGATAAGAATGTAGAAGTTCTATGTCAAAATCCCCACTCAAGTCACTATGCTAAACATTTCTGAATGTCGCTAGCCATAGCATGATAATTTTTACATAGCATATTCCTGACAAACTGAATTGTAATTATTATGCTTTCAGGGGTTTTCTAAATGCATTAATTTTTGTTCTTTTATGTAAATTCACCTATCTTTATCTAAAAGAACATTTAGTATCAATACAGTGACTTGAAGAACCTTGTAATAAGCACGGCTCTGAAATAATACTGCATTGGTAAACCATACCCTAAATGAATCTTCAAATACACAAGCTATTACATCTTTTTTAATCCTTAAAAAATGTAGTTCCATGCTCAAGTATCTTTCTGTGTTCCTACAAATAGCTAAAGATTCATTGTGCTAATTATAAAAATAAAGGTTATCTCAGTCAGAAAACAGATGTTGTTCTTTTATAGTTTTTCCATTATTCTTTTTCTACGGATGATTTTAGATATTTGTATAATTTTCACAATTAGGCTCGTTAGCCACATTGCATCAGCTTTTGCAAAATAGCTGTGCATAAAGCAGTAAGATCACTGATAAACATAACTTCTTTTATGGTAACAATATAATTAAATGTTTATTCTTAGCATAAAGTTTCCTGAAGGCTTTTAGACAGATTTTAGTTCAAAATTAGTAGCAGTGACACAAATGTGGAGCTTAGGAATACAGTTAAGTAAGAACCATGAATGAGTGAATACATTTCAGAAAATTTTGAAATCAGGCTGTGCGTGCTGTTTTACATTTAGAATTCATTAGTTTTCAGTGAATATAATCAATTTGTCACCTGTTTTATAAGCTGCTTTTAAAAAGACCTTAAAAATTGATAGCTATTATAGCCTTTTAGTGGTTTATTTATTAGTTAACTTTAGGGTGAAATAAAGAAGGAAATAACAGTGTCCAGTTAGTATTTTAAATATGCAGCACTTCCTTAATGTTAGACTGGAAATCAGTCCATCTGTCTTTTATTTATAGATAAAAGTAAATCTGACCTTTTAGATTAAGGAATACTGTCAGTTGCCTTGATAAGCTCTTGCTCAACTGAAGGTCCATGATATGAGTACTCTTCTCAGTAGAATTTATACTAAAACTGAAATGATAGGAGCCTGCTAGTTAGTATCCAAGTCTCCTTGATAGGGGAACCACATGCTTTTTCTTCATCTCCCACTTGTTCTCACCCTTTACTACCAACCCAGCCACACCCCACCCCCATCCCAACATTGTTCAGTACTCAGCACAATGAATCATTTTCAAGTTGACTCATTGTGAACTGTCTCCCAGCTGTTGGAATGTCTGGCAGACATTTTTGTTTGGGTGAAGAATAACTGGCTGAAACCCAACCTGGATGAGTTTGATATAATGGTCTTTGGCTAAAGAAATATTGAGAGGAACATGTTTCTGGCCTCTGAAGCCCCTGTTATTCCTGGAGTAGTACCATTCCCTGTGGCACAGCACTGAAAGTAAGGAATCAATCTGGATTATTTTCTCACCATTGAGTGAAGAATTGCCTTAGGAAAAATAGCCATTTGCAGATTTTATATGTATTCTATACTTAGTGTGCTCACATAACTGGAAGTTTTTTAAAGACAAAGAAAACTTTTTTACACTGTCTCCTTCACAGTCAAAGACTAGAGGCTGAAATGTCCTCCACAAAATATGCATTCCTCCTGTGGAGGAGCTTCAGAAATACTGCCTGAGGTGTGGCTAACCAACTATTTCAGCAGAATGTTTGGAAACCTAGACCACTGTGCATTTGTTTCCCTTTGAATTATGTAGTACCAACATACCCTCTTTTACTGTCCACTCTCATCATTCTTTACAAAGGCCCTTAAGAGACAGGAAAACAGTGCTAAACCCAGTAGTAATCATGAAGCTTTTGCAAAATGAAATCCTTATGGTCTCTCCTCTAACAGAAGGCATAGCACCAAGCAGGCCAGTTTTCTTGACTGCCATACATCTCCCATCTTTTTCTTCTAAAATTAGTTTTTTATACTAATGGATATTACCAGTATATAAAGTGAGAATCTCAATTTTTCAAAATTGCACAAGTAATGATTAATTTCAACAAATCTATGACTGTTGAGCAAAAATGTCATGACCTGGTGTATTAGAGGATTATGGTTCCCTGGCTATCTCCCAGTCAGAAGTTGCAGGAAATACTGAATTTCCATGAAGTAAAATAATTATAAAAGCAACTGGCTACTCAGTGGTTTTACTTTCCTGGCTATAGGGGTTTTTGAATCATTACTGTTTAGCAACTGGGTGTCCTGTGCTTAGAACCATGTTGACATATTGTTTTAATCTAGTACCAGGACATTCCCAAGCTGTTCTGTTGAGTACTGTCAGATTCATCTCTAGCTGTGTTCAGGAAGAAGTTGTTGGCCATGGGTCAGTGCTAGTCACGGTTTCTTTGCCATTGTTTTTGCTCTAGAGCCAGTGGCAGCATCTGGAAAAGGACATAGAAGACTCCAGAACTAGCCACATATTGCAGCCCCTTAGCTAGACCTCTTTATGTTTCTAATATGTCACAGAGGACTTGAACTGTCACAGGGCTGAGACCCAATCCCAGCTGATGTGCAACAGTGGAACTCTTGCCCTGCTTAACATAGTGTTGTCTGAATCCCATTGTCTGCCAAGTTCTCCTGTGGACAGGAGTAAAGTAACATGGAAAACAATGATGTGTAAGAATAAGTGTAAGCTGGGCGGTGGTAGCACATGCCTTTAATCCCAGCACTCGGGAGGCAGAGGCAGGCGGATCTTTGTGAGTTCAAGGCCAGGCTGGACCGACAGCCTCCAAGACAATACCGAGAAACCCTGTCTCGTAAAACCAAAAAAAAAAAAAAAAAAAAAAGAATAAGTGTAGCCTCATTCATTAGACCAAATGAACAGTAATTAATGTTTTCACCTTGCCTTCAACTCTTTAAATTAACATGCAATACCTATATAGATCAGATCATTCAACTAGGTGACTATTTCATCTGTTTTTCAGACTCTGGTGTTAATTAATATTTCTTATCTCCACTACAATTTGTGTTCAAGATGGTTTAGTGGTTCTGCATGGATATTTATTTTGTAATTAATTATGACATGAGTATTCCATTTCTATGTTTTTTTTTTCAGAATAAAGCAATTACTTCTCGTGTGAGAAATTTGTCTGATACAGTAGTTGGCCTGGAATCTTTTATTGGTTCAGAGAAAGAAACCAACCCATTATATAAGGATTATCATGGTAAGCATCATCTTTATCATAGATAGAGCATGTTCTGAGTGCTTCTTGAAAGTATCCTCCTGGTTTAGTCAGAGCATCTGCTATAATTTAGTGTGAATTTTATCCCACCCCATGTCTGTTAAGTACTTTCCCTCCCTGATTAATAATTCTACTTCAGCCAGTTGTCAAAGTAAGATTATAGATTATGATAACTGAAAGTAGTCAAAGCCAGGGTCTGAAGTATTATGCCAATGGTATAGAGTTTCTATGATATCAGTCATATATATTAGCCATGTTTAAAATATCCCTAATTTTAAAATCTAAAATATGAAGTGTGCTTGTCCTAAGCATTTTGAATAATGAATAATAAACTTGTAACAGCTGTATGGTAAGGTGCATTCTGGACTGAGATGTAGCTCAGTGTTAGATTATTTGCCTAATATGCACAAGATCGTGTGTTCAATCCCCAGCACTAACACCTTAAAAGGGGGTTCCGTATTACCTTGTCACCCCAACATAAACCCAGATGAGTTTATTTGACATTTTACTACATGATATTTTTGTTTTGTTTTTGATTCTGGAGATTGAACATCCAGTCGTGTATTCTAAGTATGGATTCTACCCTTCAAGACTATTCTCATCCCCCCTTTTTAAAGCTTTAAAAATACTTTGGTCATTTGGCTAATTGAAAATTTTTTAAGAAATACTATTTTCACATAAGGATTTGAAGAGTAGAAGGTTAGTAGTTATGTGATCTTATGTTTAAATCAATACAAAGTGTTATAAATAACACACCTATTATGTGTTCTAAATAATTGTAACTATTGATATTATTTTGAAACTTATACTTTGAACTTCTAGACTAAAGGTTTACCAACTCATTTTAAGTTTGCTACCTTTGTCACAACAAACTTTGTTTGCTAACATGTAAGAGTCTGTAAAAAAGGCATTAAAAGTAATAAGGTGCTTTGTATAATTGTTAGTGCTTTGAGTAGTTAGCCTTTGGATCAATATTTAAATAACATAAGCTAACAAGTCTTTTTTTAATGCTAAAAAACTGTAAGTTGTAAACCACAGTTACAGTAAAATAATGCACCTCCTGATTGCTTCCCTAATTAAATGAACATATCATATACATACAGGTTAACCCTACATCAGATTTATTTAATGCATCATTTTTCACTATGATGAGACAAGAGCTAACATAATTTGGCTATTTTAAATATATTTCTGTTATATTTTCTTTTTAAAAAATCAATTTAGATGTTACCTTAGTAAGTTATCATTTCTAAGCATTTGTTTATAAACGTACTGAAATTATGTTTCATATTCTACGTTATTTTAGTTAAAACATTTCAAAGGTTGAACTGTCATTCTTTTTGTGCTGAAATCTCTGAATCAGTAAGTTATTCTCCAGGTATAAGAGTAATTCTGATTATTTGTAAATTTTCCATTAATAAAAAGGACCTTATGATAAAATAATAAATTATATAAGGTTTCCTAACTTAAAAATTACCTAACAAGCACATATATTGTAAAGGTAAAATAAAAATGTGCTGTCCTTATCTCTAGTAAGTGTATTATACTAAATAAGTATGTATAAGATATTTTAATTTTTAAGAGCTATTGTCTTAATGAGAAGTAGGAGGTCACTATGATCAAAATACATTTTATGAAAATCTCAAATTATTTATTACAATATTATATTTAAAATGTAAGCATTCTTACTTTAGTGAATTATTTTTGAAGAAGTTGTTTGTAACAATGAAGTTAGCTGAAGGCTTACACTTTAAATCTAAACTCATACCTACATTAGTGATCATCCACATACACACACATAAGCAAGCAGTTCTGTAAATGAGATTTGTGTGCTCCAGTCTGAAATTTGCTGTCTCATAGTCTGTTTACAGGGATCAGTATCCCTGAGATGGTATTTTTAAATATGAGCTGAATCAGGCAAAAAGATGCACTGAAGAATCTTCCATGTCTTCATCTGTGGGAACTGACCCCTAGTTTAGTCAGAAACTACACAAAAGCCTTCCAGTGCCTTGTCAGGAAAGATTAGCAAGTATTTCTGCTGACGAGGCCCCGAGCTCACGATTTACCTATCGCTGCTGCAGAGCTTCTAATGGCCACATAAGGGTCTAACGTGCCATAAAAATCAGTGTTTCCGGATGGCATACAGGCTAATGTTTGATCCTAGACTGTGCTGAAATGTAGTTTTCTTCAATAGTTTCTTCAGTGTACAAAATGAAATACTTATTACTGGTGTTTTGCAGGTTATCAGTAACCCAAGAGCCTTGTTTTGTTGGCTGCTTACTGGTGCATTTAATAAAATAAAGATTGCTCAGTGGTGCTGTGGGCAGCGCACAAGGTGATAGCCATATTTGCTTACTGTAAATACGAAAGAAAATCACACGCAGACCGGCTGTAGTTTTGACAAGTATTAAGATCCCTCTTTACATCTGTACTCCTGAACCAAAGTGCAATTAGTTTTCCTCACTCGAGGATTTCTGTTTATCTTATTCTGCTTGATTACTTGAGTATAATCACACCATTTGCTTCACTGCTCCTGGTAGTCAGCTCCTGTTTTAAAGGGAGGATGCTTGTGTGTAAATTTACAGACTCTGCTGTAAGACTCTTTAATTTCTGCCTCTGATGACAGCACTTAAGGCTTCTTCTTATAATTTCCTTTCCATGAGGTTTGATCCATATACGGAAGATTCCTCGGCTTAATAACTTGACTTGTGATGAATCGGATGTCAAAGACTTAGCTTTTAAGTTAAAACGGAAGCTGTTCACCATTGAGGTAAGAGAATTTTTATGTTTTAGTTTACTGTCTTAAGGTAAATGGTCTCTCTCACCCCTGCTTTTCACTCTAATAAAACATTTAAGACACATTTGAGGCTACAAAGTAAGTGCTTTTGTTATAACAGACTAAGGTTTGGTATATTTTCCTCCATTCTGATCGTGTGTTATTTTTCAAGTACAGCAAAAAAAAAAAATTGTTTTAATAGCTGTTGAAAATAAGCTCCAAACTCAAATGATAAATACGACGTGCATCTCCAAGGCTTTCAAAGGCATTTAATTAAATGTTAATGAGCTGTGCTTACTGTGTGTGGAATATGAATGCTACCCACAACTATGTTTGGATAAGAAGAGAAGTTTCAACCCTACCTCCTAAAGTTTTTTTGTTGTTGTTGTTTGCTTGCTTTGTTTTTAAGTATTAGGGAGATTACATTTAATTTTTAAAATGTTGAGTTTTTAATTTTTAAAAGTATGAGTTACACTAGTGGCTATAAGAAAATTTTCCACATGTGGATTTTGTGACCTTTCTGCAAGCAGGATGACAGAAAGTGATACAAAGGAGTTGTTTCAGCTTAATCTTGCTAAAGAGCAAATGAACATGAACTATTAAGCAATTAGGCTTGATATATTTATCAACGAAGTAAATGTTCAGAGAGATAGTATTTGGGTGGTGTGATAGTTATCAGTATGGTTGGTGCATTTTTTTAAACAAAGACAAAAACAGCCAAACTGCCTTGACAAACCATTTTGTTTAATCTCTTTTCAAATGAAAAACTCTTAAGCAGGCCACTTGTCTTAACTGCTTGAAACCATAAAAAGAGAGAATTACCACCAATAAATTAGCATATTTTTAACTTCATCACCAAATGATGGTCAATGTGGCTTGGCATTGCTTTGGTGTTTGGGACTTCACCCTTAAAGTGACCACTTTGGCCCTTCTTTGACCCTCTGCCCTCTTTAAGCTGGCCACTTGATAAGGTAACTTAATGGCTCTCTGTCTCTTTCTCTGTCCCTTCACATTTACAAGTAGCACTAACCTATAAATCATCATAAGGGTCCTATCCTGTGACAAATTAATGTGCCCTCCTCCTAATTAATGGTCATCAGTATCCTTAATTATCTAATCCTATTGAGTGCAGTTAATAGTTAATCGGGCATCCAGTTCTTCAGGCAGGTCATCTCTGCAGGAGTGTTAGAAGTTCCTCATCTGGAGAGGTCTCTGTTCAAAAGCCACTTCGAGCCCCAAAAGGGTGTGTAGGAATAGTGATTCTTGAGCTAATTTGCCTTACTTCTCAAAGGAAACCACTGAAATGGAACCTAAGACTGTCACTGTACCAACATTGCCTCAGCTTTTCTGATGGGATGGATACCAAGTGACTTACTATCTTAAACATTTAGAGGACTAGGTTGTAGCTTATTGTCTGGCAAAAGTATGCTTGCTTTTTAAAGTTGAATTTATGTTTCAAATAAAAGAAATTTTTCCCTTCATGTGATATTCTCCCCAGTAATTTTTAAAGCATTTGTAAGGTATCATTTCTATTGTTTAGAAATTAAGCAAGAATTCCTCAATGGAAAAGTTACTGTGCCCTAAGTAGGATATGAATCCTGTTTATGACTTTACAGTGTCTTATGAGGAGCATAGAAAGGGGAAATACAGGACCTGTGTAATGTTTAGTGAGACTACTCCTTTGAATGACTGTAGGTTCTAATAGAGAGTGTTGATTACAGGCTTCTTGCTACTAAAAACTAAAAGAATCACAATTGTTGCCCTGTAGTTTGGAAGCAGGATTTGAAAACAAAACAAAAATAAAGTCACCCTTTAAATAAGTTAATATTCAGTACACTCAATCAAATCCTTGTCACTTTGACTTGATCTAGTCAGTAAAGATTTGGGGGTTTATAAAATAAAAGTTCAGGTAAAACCAATTTTAAATGGCAAACCTAATAGAAATACATAAATCTTGTTCTTTTGTTGTTGCTGTTTTGTTTTGTCTTGTCTTGTTTTTTGAGAACTAGAACTTGCTTTGTAGATTAGGCTGGCCTCGAACTCACAGAGATCCACCTCCCTCTGCCTCCCATTTGCTGGAATTAAGGGCTTGTGCCACCATGCTGGACCATAAATCTTTTTAATGTTCTGACATTTTAAAAAATGAAATGCTAGCTATACTCCTTGGAAAGTCTGAGGAGGGAATGCTCAGGGCATTTTGTGTTTACCAGAAGCAAAACCTAGCTTGGTGGGTAAATCAAAGTAACTTTTCTGATCCCATTCAGGCAGATTTATTACAAATTAGGATCTACCTGAAGTCACGTGAGTCACAAATGAAGGGTGAATGGAGACAAGAAGCAAAGGCAGTGTGGGATGGAGCAGGTACTAAATAAAGCCTGTTTAGCCATTGGTCTTTACCCGTGACAGGTGGGGCAACACAGTACTTTCTAACTTAAGTGACTCAAAGACAGAATGGTATTTTCTCCTTCTTGGTGTACATGTTGATTTTGTCTGATTCAGAAGAAAACATTTATCACAATAGATTATTATAATTCATTATAACTACAAAGCTGCTAAGTTAGACCTTATGAAAAGCACAGCAAAATCCTGGCTACAATGCTGACACTGAAGCCCTGAGTGATGACACTGCAGCTAAAGTAGCTATCTGTCATGTATGTGCCAGAATGTATGCTAGATAAAGGGATTATGAATGGAATCCTTTTTTTTTTTTTTTTTTTTTTTGGTTTTTCGAGACAGGGTTTCTCTGTGGCTTTGGAGGCTGTCCTGGAACTCACTCTGTAGACCAGGCTGGTCTCAAACTCACAGAGATCCACCTGCCTCTGCCTCCCGAGTGCTGGGATTAAAGGCATGCACCGCCAAACTGAATGAAATCTATCTGTGCGTAGCATGTAAGTCACACTATAGGTTTTGTAAGTCTGTAGTGGCCTTACTTCTGAGCTGAACTTACTGCCTACACTGAAGATCTTTTAAGTGTATCAGTTTGTTTTCTTTGATAATGTTGGTATTATCATTAACTAATTTTTCTTTATAATTATGATGAACTTTAATGCATAGTCAAGTAAATCTGGTAGGATTTGAAGTATGGCTGCATGGAATTTGATGATATAGGAACAGCATTTTACTTGAATATGATATCATTTTGATTTTGTATTTTCAGCTTTCATATTCTACTAATTGAATTTCCTAACAAATGATAATATATTAGTTGAAGCATCTACAAAATTATTACAAAAAAAAGTTTCCTTGTTATGGGGCAGTTTTTTAGCTCTAAGCATCAAAGTTTCTAGGTTCAAGTTGGGAAGTGTGACAATTGGGTTGTGCTGAAATTCACAGAAGGTACATCCAGTAACTACAAATGCATGGGATCAGTCAAGTCGCAATCACCATAATTAATATATCTGGAGTCTTATAGAGTGAGTATTGAGAGCAGACTCTATCAAAGCAAATTAAAATTATCAAGACTGACTTGTGATACTCTGAAACCAGTTCAGAATATGAGACCTCGGTAACTCTCCAGTCACCAAGGCTTTTTTCTCACAAAATAATTGGCCAACCAGTTATTATAAACTAGCTATTCTTTGTGCACCTACTAAATAGATTCATTCTTAACTATTAATACCAAAATTGCATGTGCTATTGGTGTTAGTTAGCTTAATAATAAGAACTTGATGTAACTTCATAGACTTACCTGAAATGTTTACAATTTGCAAAGTATAAAGCCCCACGCACTATCTGTTAGTCACTGTGACAGCATTAACAACTCAGAATGTTGCATGATATCATCAGCCCTAGATTTACTTCTCTGGATTTATTTTCTATGGCCTTTCCAGTTTTTTAATGAGAAATAAGAGGATAAACTATGTTTAATATACTCAAAGATAAAGAGAGAGAGAAGGGAAACTTGCTTATCAATTCACAGAGGTGTTACTGAAATAATACATTCATAAACGTCCACCTTGGAAGCCTTATTAAGTGATAGTGTCATGGCCATATAGTCTAATTAATGTAACTTTTCTAATAATACTGTCCTTGATAAATATCCGTTACTGTTTAAGTTACCTTGTGTTCATAAGTAAACTGCCAGTACCAAAACTAAAATATTAATTATAGGTGTCTATTCATCTGAATGCAATCTTACTTGTCAAAAGTAAACTGAAGAGAAGGGAATGGTACATGTCAAAGCCGGATGTGACCACACCTGTAACCCTAACACTGGGAGGGCAGAGACAGATGGATCCCAGAGGGTCACTGGCTGGCCTGTCTTGCCTAAAGTGAGAGCTCCAAGTTCATTGAGATACCTTGTCTCAAAGCATAAGGAGGCAAAGAAATAGAGGAAAATGTCTGTTCATATACACCAGCGCGCTCTCTCTCTCTCTCTCTCTCTCTCTCTCTCTCTCTCTCTCTCTCTCTCTCTCTCTCTCTCTCTCTCTCTCTCTCTCTCTCTCACCCACTCACACACACACACCAAAATTGGCGTACTGTAACAAACAGTAGAATGTAATTTTATATGTTCCCATTTTAAATGTACTATACTCATATTTTCACTTAATTCTTTAGTCATATAGGCATACAGCAGTGTCACAGATTCTCAGAATCTCTAGTTTATTTATATATAGTATATTAACTATATATATTTTACATTGCCATAGTGAACCTATCAAAAGTGCATACCATCTAAAGGGAACACAGTTGTGAGAATCTGTCTAATCCTATTCCTTCCAACTTTGGAATCTTAATTAGAAGAGATGGGGGGACATCATTTAACTAAATTCTTGTCATGAATCTGTAGCAAAAGGTATAATCCTCAATTGGGCCAATTAGTGAACCCCATAGTTAGCTGTGCTGCAGTGAACAATTTGATTAGATCTGACACCGTCCTAGTTCCCACTGTTGTTTTGCCAGGTATGATGGTCAGACTTCAAAGAGCCAAAGGCATCAGCAGGGCAAGGTTTGGAGGCCAGCTTAGGTCCGGTAGTTAATCTCTCTGCTAAAAC